TAGAGATGAGGTCTCACCAAGTTGCCCAGGCAGGTCTCGAACCCGTGGGCTCAGGCAATCCACTCATCTCAGCCTCCCAAAGCGCTGAGATTACAGGTTGAGCCACCGAGCCCGGCCTATTTATTATTTTGAGTCAAGGTCTCACTCTGTTACCCAGGCTGGAAGGGCAGTGGCAGGATCATGGCTCACTGCAGCATGGACCTCCTGTGCTCAGGCAATTCTGCCTCAGCTTCCCAAGTAGTTGGAAGTACAAGCACGTGCCACCACACCCAGCTGACTTTTTGATTTTGTAGAGTTGAGATCTTGCTATGTTGTCCAGGCTGATCTCCAACTCCTGGCCTCAAACAATCCTGCTTTGGGCTCCTAAATTGCTGGGATTACAGGCTTGAGCCACTGTGCCCTGCCTATTTATTTATTTATTGAGTTGGAGTCTTACTCTGTCGTCCAGACTGGAGTGCAGTGGCACGCTTCCAGCCACTGTAGCCTCCACCTGCTGGGCTCATGCGATCCTTCCACCTCAACCTTCCAAGTATTCGGAACTACAGCTAATTTTTCATTTATTGTAGAGACGAGGTCTCATCAAATTGCTTAGGTGGGTCTCAAACCCACGGTCTCAGGCAATCCACTTGCCTCGGCCTCCCAAAGTGCTAGGATTACAGGCAGAGCCACCGAGACTGCCCTATTTACTTTTATTTATTTAAAAAATTCACTTTATTGGTGTATGATTGACATATAAAAAGCTGTACTTCTTTTTGAGTTGGAGTCTCATTCTTCAGTCAGGCTGGAGTGCAGTGGCACACTCAAAGCCATTGCAGCCTTAACTTGCTGGGCATAGATGATCCTTCTGCCTTAGCCTTCCAAGTAGGTGGACCTACAGATGCACGCCACCATGTCCGGGTAGTTTTTGTTTTTATTGTAGATACGAGGTCTCCCCAAGTTGCCCAGGTTGGTCTTGAACCTGTGGGCTTAGGCAGTTCTTTCGCCTCGGCCTCCCAAAGTGCTGGAATTGCAGGCTGAGCCACCACGCCTGGCCAAACTGTACATTTTTAATGTATAAAACTTGGTGAGTTGGGGCATAAGTACTTATCAATGAAACCATAACCACCATCGAGTCTGTAAACATATTCATTACATCCCAACCTTGGGGTTAGGTTTTGATTTTTTTTTTGAGTTTGAGTTTGAGTCTCACCGTGTGGCCTAGGCTGGAGTGCAGTGGCACATTTACGGCCACTGCATCCTCCACCTACTAGACTCAGGTGATCCTTCCGCCTCAGCCTTTCATGTAGCTGGAAATACAGGCATGCACCACCACGCCCAGCAAATTTTTGATTTGTTGTAGAGATGAGGGCTTGTCAAGTTGCCCAGGCTGGTCTCGAACCCATTGGCTCAGGTAATCCTCTCACCTCAGCCTCCCAAAGTGTTGGGATTATTGTGGGTTAGGTTTAATTTTAATACTTCACATTTAGATTGTGAAACATTTGATCAACTTGCTTAAGGTTCCAGAGGAAGGAAGTTTGGGGCAGGGATTCAAACTCACCTTTAAGCTATATTGCCTCTTAGAAGTGCCTGAAATATTTCTTTGGGGAAATGTTAAATGTGCTGTATGTGTGTACAATAGAAGCCCACTTATCTAACTGGTAGATGAAAAATGAAGTCATGGCTGGGTGTAGTGTTTCACGCCCTTAATCCCAGCACTTTGGGAGGCCAAGGTGAGAGGACTGCCTGATCCCGAGGGTTCGAGACCAGCCTGGGCAACTTGGCATGACCATTTCTACAATAAATAACAAAAAAATTAGCCAGGAGTGGTGGTGTGCGCCTGTGGTTCCAGTTACTTGGAAGGGTGAGGTGGAAGGATTGTCAGAGCCCAACAGGTTGAGGCTGCAGTGGCTGTGAGTGTGCCACTGCACTCCAGCCTGGGCAACAGAGT